GCCGCCCCGGGGCGGGAGGCGGCAGCCTCTGCCTGCCTTCCCCGGACTGAGGGGCCCGCGCTGCAGGCCTTCCGCCGCCCCGGGGCGCTGAGCGGGAGGCTGCTGCGGAGTTGGCTGCCCGCCCTCCGAGCCGGAGGAGGGGAGAAAACGGGAGAGGGCTGCCCTCTCTCGCTGGGGTGATGTGCCCTGAGGGGAAAGAAAGAATGAGCGCTCGAGCCTGGCGCTTGGCACGGGTTCTGTGCATACATTTTGCATCACAGGGTTTTTGCGTAAAACGCTGAGCTAGCAAGTGAAGGCAGGAACCTGGTACAGCTACACCCCCCAAACCTACAAAAAATGTTTTTCATTTAGTACTTGTTTCTCATATCTATCTTCTGTTAGTGTTCCCCAGGGCTCCAGCTGGTTAACCTTCTATGGCTGTGCCTCAATGTTTCAACTTTCCTTCGTCTCTAATTAGATGTTTCTGAAACCTTAACTACGCGCACACCCTTTCTTTTTTTGGAAATAGCAGGCAATGCTTTATCCCTGTATAACACTACAAGTCATCAGGGCTGAAAAATCTCTTACCCGCAACAGACAGAAAGCTTCCTGCAGTTTTTCACTCTAGAAAGTCTAAGGGTGCTGTTCCACAGTGAACCTAAAAGTGGGCTGCCCTCAATCCCAGCACGGCTTTAGCCGCTGGAAGTTGTACGGTTGCACCTCAGTCAGAAAGCGGCTTAGTTTCCGGCTGAATCAGCCTCCTGTACTGCTGTGGAAGTGCTGGTGAAAGAAGTTGGAGCAGGTATCCGCGCTGCAGTGGGGATGGCAGGAGCACTACTGCCTAGGTGACGTTGAAACTGTTCTGAAACCACACCCTAAATTCTCATAATATTTATGGAGGTTCTCGCTAACTGTTTATAAATAGTCTAACTTTTTTGTCTACCTGTTCATTGAGAGGTTTAGTATATCGATCAACTTAGTTGAGGAAATCAGGAAAAGCAAGGAAAGGTGAAGAAAAGCTCAAAAAATGGTTTGGTGTTTTGACAAGTTGTTAAGAATACTACAAAAACCGATGGTCCACAAGATGGACTCTTAATAGAAGGGTCTAACTATTGGGAGCGGATAAGGGAAGTCTAGAAAGGTGAGTTGTAAAGTGCTAAAATATCTGGCAATTTTATTCCTAAATTACTGAGATTAATACTACCAGGAAAACTAAATAGTTGACAAATTTTAAACGTGTTTGCTTCTGCAGCCCATGGCAGGAGATGACACTCGTTTTCTCTCTGCTTTTCTTCTTCCACATCCCATTTTACCTGTCTGATATCTTTCTCTTGACTGCAAGCAGGGTGACCCAAATGGCAGACTGCAAGCTGCAGCCGGCCCACCGCCTTTTCTGCTGTAGAGGCATGAGGAAAAAGATCTACATGCTGCCTTTTTCTCTGAGTGCCTCCTACCCGCGCTTGTTCGAGCTGCTGTTTCTGTACGAGAGAGAGCGCGAAGCTATAAGCATCAGGGAATAGTTGCTAGTGCATCAGGCAGGGTCAGCGGCAGCACGTGGGCACAGGCAAGCAGTTTAAGCCGTTGTTACCGATCCATGTGACCTATTCAAAAGGCCCCAAAACTGATGTTTGCCACGTGGGACTGAAAATGTTAACCCACTCTTCCTTAGTGACATCAGGGTTAAAGATAAGCAAAGTAATCACAGCCGTTAATCACGACTGGATTAGCCCTAAAGAAAGAAGGCAACCCCTTACCATTCCTTTCCTGTGTGCTAAATAATGACGTCTTTTCTACAGCACACTGTGGAGGGCTTTTACGTATGTTACTCTCTTGAAGAATGGAATTTCTTTTCAGGGGGGAAAATAGAGAGACTCATAATTTAAGCCCGAAGTATATTACATGAAGCATGAATGAGTACTATTTTAGTTTGCAGTTGGTAATAAGAAGGCTATAAATAACGAGGTGACGAAGGGCCTGCCCAGGGCTGCGGGGTACTGCTCTGTATTGTGAGCTTTGCAGGAGAAACACGGGTGTGCACCTTGCAATATTAATGCACACTAGCTTTTGTAATTTGGCAGAAGAAACTTCATCTCTCTGTTAGATTGTAGGGTACAGGTTTACTAGCAGTGCCTGAATGCACATCGTATGCAAACTTTTTATCCCCAAAGAAATGTGCCTCATATTTCTCAGCATCACCTAAGTCTGCTAGCACTGGACAAGCTTGTGGGTCAAGTGAAGTACATTTTTATTGTAGGTAGGCAACAATTACAATTACAAGGCTGAAAAAAGTTAATCAAAACAAAATAAAAACATACACCACAATTGCAGATTGTATTTTAAAAGTAAGGTTCCTTCTTAGCTGCCTTTCTTTCCCCTCCTTCAGGCTTCCGCATCTTTAACCTGTATCCCAGGTGTCTGGATGAGGGTGCAAGCTGTAGAGCAACACCTGATCCTCAAACTCCGCTCCCCAGAGAGATCCTAAGGCTAGTCTGAACCATAAGCCTGGTTGCCATAAAGTGTTTGTTTATAGATGAATCGCTTCCGAATTTAGCTCGCCACACAGCTGCACGTTTATGCACAGTGTAAGCTCTGGCGGAAGGGAGTGGTGGTTATGAGATACTGGGGGCGTACTGGATTGCCTCTTTTGTGGCCTGCACAAACATATGCCGGCCTGAAAGGCTGGTGGTGTGGCTACCTCCAGGGCTTTTCGGCTCCAGGCAACTCTCTCCAAGTTCTCTTTTCTTGTTTTAAATGATTTCTTTCTCTTCTTGTTCTTTCTCTTTATTTCTGTCTCCCCCCACTTCCCTTCTGTTCCTATTTTAAGCCTGGCTTCCTGGATTTTCTCGAATAGCTTTGCAGCTTTGCTGACTCACATCTCTGGGTTTGGCTTGGGGTTGTTACCAGTGCATCCTTTGGGATGCTGAGTTCCCCTCCCCTCTCACCTTCCCAGCAGGAAGTCTATTGTATGCAGCTTTAATTTCTTCCTTCTCAGAACAGATAGTACTCATTGTAAAATCCTGAGCTGACTTTGCCATATTTCACATTATGCATCATAAAATGCATGAGTTGGGAAACAATTTCATTTAGCTTATGATTTTGGCCCTGTTTTTAACGTTTTACAAGACCAGAATTCTTTATTTAAACTTCTCAACTCTCTCTCTGAATTTTTAGTCACTTTAGCATCACAGAAAGATGAGCGCTTTTTTTAATGATAAATGAGATCATAAAAACATTAGAACAGCTGTACAGGGGCAGACCAGAGGTCCACATCCCCCCCACCCCCCGCCCCAGTATCCTGCCTCCAACTGTAGCCAAAAGTAAATGCCTAAGGAGGGGAGTAGGGATAGAACAAGCACGTAGGGATCCTTCCTTGAATATTTGCCCAGCCTCTGGGAATATAAAACTCAGAGACCTCCTAGAAGGTGGGTTTTTTTGTGTGTGTGTGAATGTAACAATCCTCCATTAATTTGCTACCCAAAAATTTGTCCAGTATTCCCCAGAGCCTTTATAAAATTTTAGCATTCACAATAACAATGGCAAGGAGTACCACAGCTTAATTAGCATTACAGGAAACTGCACCTCCTTTAGTTTGCTTTGTACCTGCTGTCTGTTAGCTCATTGCACAGTTTTAGAAACAGCAGTGGGCAATCCCTCCCTCTGCAGTCACCCCCCCATTAAGCCCACCCCCGCCCCACAATCTGTTCTTCAGGCTGAAGAAACCTCATTTACTTAATCATTCCTCATATGGGGATCAGTTCCTACCTTTGACCTTACTCTCATTGCTCTTCTCCAAACTTTTTGTTTGTTTTTTGAGATGGGAGTCCCAGAGTATACACCGTATTCAAGAAACAGGTACAACGTGGGCTTACGCAGAGGCGTGATGATGTTCTCCGTTTTCGTCTTTTCTCCCTAGCACTTCCTAAACTTTGGATTTCTTTTTTGACTATCGCTGTGCATGGAGCTGGTGTTTCCACAGAACTGTCTGTCATAACTGCAGGATCTCACATCTGAGCAATAAAGGTCAGAGCCCATCATTTTACATTTGCGGTTGTGTTTGCTTTTCTCAATGAGCAGTGCTTTATATTGATCTATGTTGAATTTCACGTGTTGCTGCTATACCCAC